TGTAGCTTCGTGAGTAGTCTTTTTCCTTGAGAATCAGAAGCATTGCCATTCTTCTAGTTACTGCACTCATCATCATAATTAAGCTGAAATATGATCTCTGTCGAACTCACGGTCTGTGTCAAGCAACATTTCTTTAAGGATTGCAAAGAGTTGAAACATTTAGATCCCGTAATTCATTTGAACAGATCAGTTAAGAGACAAACACTTTCGTATACTCTCTTCGGGCACCCACGTATGACATGAAATAAGATAGACAAATGAAGTAAACTAAGAAGTCTTTTTATGTTGTATGGTGTGTTTGTTTGTAGTTGGTGTTGGTTACCGCCAGGGGTGGCCAAGTGTAAAGGGCACACGCTTTTGGGTACAAGGTTTGTCGTGACCGACCGATAATCCCCCAAGCATCCTTATTCCATGTTCGTTGCGATGACTCAACAAAACCGAGAATTCGTTCGCAGGGCTTGCCTTTGGATCACTTTCTACAAAGTGGCATGGCGATAAGGGGAAAAATCTTCTTCACTCGATAAAAGTAAGGATTTCTCTCGGTCACAGGCGAAGTAAATTCGGGAAAATGGAGAGACCCAGACATCGAACGGGAAAATTGAAGATCAAGTACAACCATTGATATGGAACGCGAAAATGCAGATTGAGTTAGCCATAATTACACTTTTGGGATCCTGACCTACATGCTTTTTAGGCATTGAAAGTGATTTGAAATTGGATATCCTAATCAGCGATGGCACTCGAATCTGAATTGAGTGATACAAGCAAACGAATTCTCGTGATTGGATGGATAGTGTTATAGGAGGGCAGTCCAGGATGCCATCAATTACAGAAGCATGGACCAAATCAATAATTCCAGATTAACACCGGTTATTGTATAGAAGGAAGAGGGTGGTAAAAGGCACTCAGAAGTGAGAAAAGCCGGGATTCACTGGGATCACCCCATCTGCTTGAACCGAAGTTATATTAACTGTTTGAAGGTACAGCACTGCTGATTTTCTATCACCCTTTTCTCGATTAATAGCCGATTAGCGTACCATCATTCTTGCATTTCCCTACCACCTTCAATCTGAAACTGTTGAGAATAATCTGCAAACTAGTCTTATCGCAGCTACTTTTCCTTCTAATATCTGAATCATGGTTTTTTTCTTTCACTACTCTTCAGTGGAGATTATATAGTTTATTTATTGTTGCTCAAATGAAGTCTCGAAAGAATAAAACTCTGGGTCCCTTTTGTCAGTATTCTGGTTGTCTTTTCTCCGCACGTCTGACCAGTTGGAGAGCTGTGTATATGCAGTTAAGCCCTTTGTTGTTTTAAAAATATCTCACTTCGTTTAGTCACCATGGAGCCTGGCTTTCCTCCTCATTCGTTTTGCATTCATAGTTATTTTACTTATCCTACATTCACCGTTTGACTTCGAGATGATCATACCATACTAGTCACTTATCAGTGCTTGTGATGATGTCACCTCGGTTGATGATGAAACGTTGGCAAACAATTTGCCAAGCTCGGCGAACAGGCGACTGGAAGAGTGACAGCATGTTCATATGCTTATTCGGATTTCGTGGCGAAGTAGCGTACTCACAAGGGATTCGCGGTCTAGTGGTTTGAAGGCTCTTTTTGGGTCAAGGAACACGATATCACTTTGGGTTTTAGTAGTACTCGGAATAGGAATCGAATAGCGCGAACTCGGAATCGGGCAAACATATTGCTAAGCTCGGCGAACAGGCGAAATGAAATTCAGTTCACCCGAGCTACGAGAACCTGTTGTGTCCCAAAATTTACTAGGCAAATGAGCACACAACGAATGAAGCAGTAAGCTTATTGTAAACAACAACAATATGTAGCCGGTACACAAACCGGGGAACAAGCAGGAACGATCAGTATGTAGGAAGGCAGAGTCCGGTTCACACGTCACAGTACCTGCGAATGCCGTCAAGCCAGCATTCAAACAGTCAGTTAATCGATCAGTCAATCAATCTGGTCACAGCCATGTATGGCAAGCGAATCAGTCAGTTGTCGACCTCAACAGAACCAATTTTCAACATACTGTCACTCTGTTGTATATAATAGAACAAGAAATGAATGATATTTTTCAAAGTCCCAGACGCGAGCAAGAGCTTCTTTTTCACCAACAGAATAATCATTTTACAAGTCTGTGAATTTCCTTGGGGCTTAAGCAACCACCTCTAGTCCAAGTTGCATTTGAGAAAAAGTTGCTCCCAGTCCAACTACGGAAGCTCATGCTGTAACATAGTCCCGAAAATACCCAATACAGGAAGAAATAATACCTTTGTTTTATTGCACGAAAGGCATGTTCTTGCTCGGTTCCCCAGTAGAACATAACGCCCGTCTTCGTCAGTGCGCTCAAGGGTTCGGCAATTGAAAGAAATTCAGCTATGTGACGCATATCGTAAGAGCACATTCACTTGTTTAGCAACAGTGGGGACAGATCCATCTTACAAGTTTGGCAGTTATACGAAAGAAACACTGGAGATGAGAGGCTTTGTCACTCCAAACATCCTGATCTTCGGTTGCCGTTCATGTGACATATGATAACAAACTGCTACTAGGTCGTAATGACATGGTAGCTATGAAGATCATGCCGGATATCCAGCAAATGACTGTCGGCAGGATTGACGCTTCAACATGGAAGGATCGTTTTCCAAAGTTATTCGATTTATCTATCGGGCGAGTTCCTTTCGGGAAACACCAAATTGTTTGGAACCCGCATGCCAAACCATTTGTTACTAGTCAGCCACGCCCGGTACCACTGGCGAAGTGGTAGCTGAAGTCATTCAGAAAATGCTATCTGACAATTTGATTGAACGGATCGATTCTTCCGAATGGATACACCTTATGGTCTCTGATTTGAAAAAGGATGGTAGTGTTCGTATCTGAAATAACTTACAGGCTTTTAATAAACAGATTCTGACCCACAAATTCGTAATCCCTTCATATGAAGAATCCCTTGTCCAAATGGCAGAGGTGAAGAGTTTCACAAAGTTGGATCTACATAGCGCCTTCTTCCACATGCCCCTGACGGATGACTGCAAGGACCTTACAGCTTTTCCGACATTGGACAACGCCAATCTAACTCTCCACGGTTGCCACACGCTGTTTGGCTCACTGGAGATTCGAGGTCTCAGTGATACCTGAGTCCTTAGCACTGCTTACTGCTTCTACGGTAAAGTCTTGGGTCCCATTCCACTGTTAGGCTTTCAACGGACCTTGCTAGTAGCTGGCTTTTACTGTCATTAAGTAGCGATTCCAAGTTTAGTGTCCAGCAGGTGTCCCTTCAGAGGTCTACCCTTCTTGTCGACCCAAGTACCCTGACGTCGTCGGCGAAGAAGACGGACGATTTCATTGCCGTGGCAAATTCGTAAGATGATGGTACGAACAATCACAAACCTAGAACGGAGCACTGGGGTACATCACTTGTGACTTATTCTACGAGAGCACGTTACCTACTTCGACGTACTAAGTTCTGTTTATAACGAAGTGCTTCAGCCAATAATGTATTTGCCCCTTTATACAGAACGATGTCATTTTGCTTAATAGGGCCTTGCTAAAGCACAGATTAATTTGGTTTCAGCTTGAACGACCATTGATCATGCACTTTCTTGCGCCGGTTTTGGATGCTGCCTTTTGATTGCCCATTTAATTAATTAGTAAGAAAACACAGGAAAGTGGGAAGTAGAGTTCAAGTAAAGATGGAGAATTTTAGTTTACTAAGGTTGCAAAGAAATTGAGAATTGATTAATTAAGGAAGATCTATTGCTCAAGAACCCGAGCTGAGTTGAATACAACATATAACACTGACAGCTATGGGTGCGAGTGATCTTTTCTAACGCCTCATACAAGACGCTAGTTAGACAGACCGGTCGATGGGATTAAAGGAATGGAAAAAACAACCAGATCCAACAGAACTATATAAGCGGGGTCACACTGTGGACTGGTGCTTCCTCGAAGTAGCACTGATTAATGCGGGAACGTCTGCAAACAACAAATCCAGCTCGAAGAAACCTGCAACGGCAACATAATCTGAGAGTGCTTAGCGGGTCGACCAGCGGATTGCGAGTTTAAAATGAAATGGGTGCGCGCATGCATGATTTGGAGAACTATGATGGTTGGTCCATCAAGCATTCGTGTGCGATCAGCTGGCAGCTGGAGAGTATTTTGGATATGAGTTTTCAGAAACTGTATTTTACCCCAAAACACCAGGGTGTCAAAAATGTACGTGCTAGTTTCCGCGACTGTGTCAGTGCTACGGTTTTTTTGTACCACTCAGTTGGCAGGGGATTGACGTGAAAGATCTCAGTGAGAGTTTTCGTCAGAACAATCTAACAGTTAAGACCGTCGATCGGTGCTTGGAATCTAAGCATTCTTGAGAATTGGTGAAGCTCCCAAATCCAGGGTGCAAAATCGATCCGATGACCGTCTAGCCAGTAGTTCTGTGACTAGTTCATAAGCACCATCATGGGCGTTTTCTTTGTGTATGACGGACTCCACTAGACGAGCTGTGTTCCAGAGATTTGTTAATCTGGCCATAGCCCTAGAGGTTGGCTTCTTCGGTTCTTTTCAGAAAAACCAGTTCAACCGTTAGGTGTACGTTAATTTGAACGAGCCTTAATGAACTGTTCAAGGGAGACACTAAGAAATCAAATAAAAATACTGAAACATCCAAATATGATCATACAGGTGCGTTTTGAGGACTTCCGAGAGAAAAAAATTAACTGACAAGAAAAACAGGCTGTTATTAAAAATTATTGTTTTGGGAAACACTGATTGCTTTTGTTTAAACCAGGAATGAAGTAACGGTTGAGACATTTAAGCAAGGTCTTTTCTGAGCATGTGTATGGGTTGAGATGACACAGACGCGATCGGAATCGACAAATTGCGCATATATACATGGGTGATGTGCGTGATCCATTCTTACTACCACTCTGCCTGGAGTGAGCGTAACCATAAGAACAGAAGAAGTGCTGATGATACCAGATCATTCGGTTTTATCACGTTGGAAGGGCAGCCGGAAAACTTCATGTAGTTTTTTAGCCTACAAGAGGAATGATCAAAGGCGTTCGCACACGTACCTTTCGTTGCCCGAAACCGGATAAAGCTTCCAGTTCTGACTCTTCAGCCATTATGATATCGGCCACTGTCTGGAAAACACAGCAAACACGCTGTTAGTAAAAATAGTGGAATTCGAACTGAGCTGGAATACGCATAATGAAATACATTTAGTTGAATGTGGAAAACCAAGAATCGTAGGTTAGATGAGGGTGATTTTTGCTCATGTAACAGACACATGCCACCAAACAACGGGATTCAGTTATTCACTATCTCATCCAATTTATCGTGTGACCAAAAAATATGATACTATCTGAATACGTTTCCGAGCTTGTCATGTGGAACAGCGAATTCAGTGGCTTGAACTCAGCAACGAATTTCTGTCCGGTTGCTGGCATTCTGAACCCGATATTACTTTTCAACAGAAAACGGGTGAAATAGGTTCGGCAAAAAAACCCATTTTAACACTAACCAGTTGTTTAGTAACATACTCACTTTAAATTTGTCGATAGCAGATACGGCATCGGTCTTGGTGATACGCCGAACCGAGGTCAGGAATCCAGTGATTTGGGCAACATGATCTGATGCTGCGGCCGCTTCAGGCATCAATCCATCCGGTGGTTTGTTTTCCAGTGCCTTATATGCTTCGAGATAACGTGCAGCTTCTTCCGGACTGAAAATGAGAAAAGCAAGCGTTGTTTTACTTGGTAAACAGATCAGGCCTCATTCACTGCAAGTTGCAACAAGTGATATTGCTTATCACGACCAAGAAGATAAACCTGCGCGAAAAGTGGCTGTGCGCTACCAAACAAAGATTGCGACGATCCTTTTGTTGGTGTGAGGATAAAGACAAGACTTCATTTTTTCCATGTAGACACTTACACCCCATTCTTTCGTCCATCGTTTACCGAACTTTTTCATAAACTGTCAGCAATTAATCCGCGTTCACGGTAGTATCTCTGCCTCCCTGACAACTTCCCCTTAGGGTTCTACAAATTAGTATACTGTAACTTTTTTTATTACACATTTGTGTGGTGAACAGCCCACGGGGCGAACCCCATAGTCACTAAGACATGCTGCTTCGTTATGGAAACCGGTGACCCATGATGCGTAGACAACTTTGAAATTAGAGAATAAATAATTAAACTGGCTGTTATTAAATATGATTATGTCACAAAACAATAACTACAACGCGATAGAATCCACTGATCAAACGGGTTTATAACGAATAATGATGTGGATCATTTCAGCGGTATTGAAATGAAACGGAACTTGACAGTTTATTGCACCGATTCCGATTGACGAATATAGTCACTACAGCACTGTGATTGTTAAATTTCATAATAGGATAATTATGGAAAATATCAGATCCACTAATTCGTACGATTTCATCGACAATATCGAGATGAAATCAACCCTCTTGAAATAGAACAGCTGAAAATCACTCATGTATTTCCTGATTTATCATACCCTTCACTTCATCTACAGCACTCATGAGGAAGTGAATGTGAGTTGCCATAATCATTGGAACCATGCTTGATCAATTTGCCAACTGACAGCACGAGCCACGATTGAAATAAGCATGCACACACACACACACCACGTTTTTTCATCAAACTCTAGCCAAAATCGACAATCCTTCAGCCTCGATGCACAAACTCTAGTCATGCCGGTGTCCGCAAGTCAGTTGAAAACGTATCATAATATTCTAAGGTCAATGAATACTGATACATTTTATTTTCCAGAAATTTTGATTATGCAAAGCTTCCTTAATAAATGAGCTGCGGTGGTCGTATGCTGTGCAGATGATAGTTGCAATGGTGTGAAATGTTGCAATCAGCCCATATTGGTGATAATAACGAAAGTACTGTGAACTGTGTTCATTATCCTCGGGCGGTCGAAATTCAATGTTTGTTGTATCGCATTTGGATTTTTCTCAGGGTCTGCAAACATAAAGCAATATATCCGTTGGGTTACATACACGGTTTTAACTGACGGAAGTAACGCGTTTTGTAGATATCTTTCCAACGTATTACCTCCATGCAGTGTTCCATTTGTCAGTAATGAGGCTTTAAAAACACCACAACATGCGGAAATATTTCTCGTGTGAATGGACAGGAAACATCCTATTTTTTCACCAAGGTGGAAAATCGACGTTGAGTAATTGAACGTTCAAGCAAAGGCGATGACTTGAAGGAAGTTTCACACACTTCGTCACGCCACTACCAGAGAAATAACACTAAAAGCGAGTTCCAAAAACATTTGTGTGATACGATTAACGATAACCCACACCACACACTGAGGCTGTTAAAGGAGAGGATGCAGAAGGACTTTCCCGGGAACATCGATCAGTAAGGCTCCGATTGATCGATTAGTGGATGGAGGTCACTATTCGGTTATGAAGCTGACCATTTGGCTCGCGGAGCGAAATTTGCAAAGTGCCAAACTGCAACGAGCTGGATATACCAAATGATTGCAGCGATATGATAATGCAACAATTGTGTCCGTACACTGACGAGACCAACTAAATATGGTGTTGCCGCAGATATGAAC